TATATGACGAGGAAGGTGATAGCTATGAAATGAGTGCATGCGATTTCCATTTAGAAAGGGAGGGAAGGATTTAATGGGGGAAAAACAATGGTGATTCGAGATTAATGACGCGACGAGATATTGTCCAAATGGGTTGAGATTACTCGAGTAATAATGCTAACAGAAATGGTGTTCCGCAGGCTCAAAAGATTTGTTCTCAAAGCCATTCATAATCCATTTTGCGAAATCAATGTAAGCCAAGCGAAAAGAGAATCAAATTGGGTGAGGAGGAGGAGGATGAGTGCACTCTGAAAACAAATATCACATTTATGGCCAGCATAAATTACACACACGCGCAAATGTAATAACAAGGGCGTGTGATTGACGACGTAATTATTCGACGTTTTCAAACAATGTCATTGATGCTGCTTGTAGTATATTGAGCTTGCACATCCGAGCATTCAAATGCTGAAAATGATATTATTATGTTATGCTATGAGATATTCAATTGTTTTGTTCGATGTGACCTGCTTGCATGATTTTCCATGTTACTCGAGATTTATGCGCGATGCCATATCTTTATCCGTTTGAGCGAAAGGCGATCACACTGGCGTTTGTCGTCGTCAAACAATATAATCCATTCCGGTTGAATCCGATATTTTAGAGTTCCCAATCTTGATGTATCTAGTATTGGAGGTGAGTCTAATGACATAATTGGGTTGAAAGCATACAAATGAATTGATAAAGAGTGGAAGGAGATAAGATATTGAACATTTTCCGTTTGCTGATAGCTAGAATTCGTTTTGTTGCCCGTTCGATCCGTTCGTTGGTGTCGAACAATGTTTGCAAATAAATCCAGTCTGCACATCATTGACTCAACTTCTTGAGCAAATATCCTCCGCTCTTGAAAATCATCTTACAATTCTTCCAACGTATGCGAACAGTTTCCGAGCCTCTATTCGATACTGTTCATTCGAATTTTCATAAGGTCATCAGCTCATCGCTGCTGGAAAAAACACCCGTAGTCTTTCACAGAAACTGTGCCCTAATTATTCAATGAATGAAACTAACTTCGCTCTCCGCAAAGCATCTTGACGAGAAGCCATGAAGAACAGAATATTACAATGGCTTTCAAATGAATCATTATGAAATGATAATCACATTCTTACTTTGCTATCATTTCAGTTAACATTAAACTAAAGTGTTTCATTTCATTACTGATGGGGTGTTTGAGCAGACTTTATTTGTCAGCGCAAGAAGAAATTCACTAAATGCTTACCAGTAACTGCTGTAAAAGCACATATATACCGCAATTCTATTGGGTTCTGCATATTGTTTCATTTAATCTAATACTATTTCTCGTTTTTTCACAAGTTGATCTGAAAATTTTTCTATGCAGTGGGAATTGTATGTTAGGTTACCCTTGGCAAAGACAATATGGCGTAAACGGAAATTTCTTTATAAAGTTTTTGAGGAGTGGTCAAAATTTTTTCGCACGGGATGTGCAGATCAAATCGTCGAAAGAGTCTGATATCCATCAGTAAATTGATTTATTTTAATGACCTATTGTTTTTGGTATCGGAAGTGGACCTAAGCATGTCATTAACTTGTCATTTGCGATCTCTTCCTTCCTTGATGACCCATTGAGTTTTTGAAATGTGCACTGCAATTGAACATGATTTCAAAATCAAACTCGTTATTGGTAGATAGCATCATACGTGTCAGTTTTTGAATATAGCTGAACACTTGTTTATAACAATGAATAATTCCATCTATAAATCATGTATCAGATAATACTTGGTTATCAGATAATTATCAGATATAACATCAGATAATGATAACGTTTGGTTCTTCTAGTACTTAATGTTTTGAAGAATCGGAAATGTTTATCATTATCTCGCTTTCCTGTCTTGTTCATCAACGTAACGAAATCTCCCGGAAAGCCTACATCACTTGCGTTTCAAAATTCATTGAATTTATTCATTAGTTTCATTGTTTTTCGTTCATNCAATCTTGATGTATCTAGTATTGGAGGTGAGTCTAATGACATAATTGGGTTGAAAGCATACAAATGAATTGATAAAGAGTGGAAGGAGATAAGATATTGAATATTTTCCGTTTGCTGATAGCTGGAATTCGTTTTGTTGCCCGTTCGATCCGTTCGTTGGTGTCGAACAGTGTTTGCAAATAAATCCAGTCTGCACATCATTGACTCAACGTCTTGAGCAAATATTCACCGCTCTTGAAAATCATCTTACAATTCTTCCAACGTATGCGAACAGTTTCCGAGCCTCTATTCGATACTGTTCATTCGAATTTTCATAAGGTCATCAGCTCATCGCTGCTGGAAAAAACACCCGTAGTCTTTCACAGAAACTGTGCCCTAATTATTCAATGAATGAAACTAACTTCGCTCTCCGCAAAGCATCTTGACGAGAAGCCATGAAGAACAGAATATTACAATGGCTTTCAAATGAATCATTATGAAATGATAATCACATTCTTACTTTGCTATCATTTCAGTTAACATTAAACTAAAGTGTTTCATTTCATTACTGATGGAGTGTTTGAACAGACTTTATTTGTCAGCGCAAACAGTAATTCACTGAACGCTTACTTACCAGTAGCTGCTGTAAAAACACATATTCACCGCAATTCTATTGGGTTCTGCATATTGTTTCATTTAATCTTTCTCGTTTTTTCACAAGTTGATCTGAAAATTTTTCTATGCAGTGGGAATTGTATGTTAGGTTACCCTTGGCAAAGACAATATGGCGTAAACGGAAATTTCTTTATAAAGTTTTTGAGGAGTGGTCAAAATTTTTTCGCACGGGATGTGCAGATCAAATCGTCGAAAGAGTCTGATATCCATCAGTAAATTGATTTATTTTAATGACCTATTGTTTTTGGTATCGGAAGTGGACCTAAGCATGTCATTAACTTGTCATTTGCGATCTCTTCCTTCCTTGACGACCCATTGAGTTTTTGAAATGTGCACTGCAATTGAGCATGATTTCAAAATCAAACTCGTTATTGGTAGATAGCATCATACGTGTCAGTTTTTGAATATAGCTGAACACTTGTTTATAACAATGAATAATTCCATCTATAAATCATGTATCAGATAATACTTGGTTATCAGATATAACATCAGATAATGATAATGCTTGGTTCTTCTAGTACTTAATGTTTTGAGGAATCGGAAATGTTTATCATTATCTCGCTTTCCTGTCTTGTTCATCAACGTAACGAAATCTCCCGGAAAGCCTACATCACTTGCGTTTCAAAATTCATTGAATTTATTCATTAGTTTCATTGTTTTTCGTTCATTCCATACCAATTCCGTTCATTGAAATCATTTGAATTGCTTTTAATGAGTATCTGGATTTCGTCTATGGAGAAATTTTTGCAGAAAAATGTGGGATTTT